TTAAGACAGAGCCTCCCTCTGTTGTCCAGGCTGGAGGGCAGTGGTGCCATCTCATCTCCTTGCAACCTCCACCTCCTGGGCCAAGCCAGTCTCCTGCCTCAGCCTCCTGAGTAGCTGGGATTATAGGTGCCCACCACCAAGCCCTGCTAATTTTTGTATTTTTAGTAGAGGTGGAGTTTCACCATATTGGCCAGACTGGTCTTGGACTTTTGACCTCAAGTAACCCACCCACCTTGGCCTCCCAAAGTGCTGGGATTATAGGCATGAGCCACTATGCCTGGCCCACAGCAGTAAATTTTCTAGATATGTTTTGCAGAACTCAAAGAACTGAAAAGGAAGTTATCACTCAAGGGCAAATTATCTTTCTTTCTTTTGAGATGGAGTCTCACTTTGTCACCCAGGCTGAAGTGCAGTGGCACAATGTAGGCTCACTGCAACCTCTGCCTCCGGCTTCAAGCAATTCTCCTGCCTCTGCCTCCTGAGTAGCTGGGACTACAGGCACGTGCTACCATGCCTAGCTAATTTTGATATTTTTAGTAGAGCTGGGGTTTTGCCATGTTGGCCAGGCTGGTCTTGAACCCCTGACCTCAGGATATCCATCGCCTCAGCCTCCCAAAGTGCTGGGATTACAGGCATGAGTCACCATGCCCAGCCCAAGGGCTAACTATGTTAAGATACTATAAATGTCACCTGTAAATGTGTGAGAATTTTTTAAAAGATACTATAAATTATGCTAACTTTTGCAGATTTGAAATATATGTTGTTTTGTTTTAAAATGTTTGCATGGTGGCACACGCCTGTAGTCCCAGCTACTCTGGAGGATGAGGCAGAGCAAGACTCCATCTCAGAAAAAAAAAATTCACTTTGGGAGGCTGAGGCAGGCAGATCACCTGAGCTTAGGAGTTTGAGACTAGCCTAGGCGACATGGTGAAACCCTGTCTCTACACACACACACAAATACAAAAGTTAACCAAATGTGGTGATGCACACTTGTAGTCCCAGCTACTTGAGAGGCTGATGGTGAGAATAGCTTGAGCCCAGAAGGCGGAGGTTGTAGTGAGCCAAGATCAAGCCACTGCACTCTTCCCAGGCGACAGAGCCAGACCCTGTCTCAAAAATAAAAACTGAAAAAGGAAAAAATTGTTAACTCTTTTAAAAGAGGAGGAATGGGCCAGGCACGGTAGCTCATGCCTGTAATCCAAACACCTTGGAAGGCCAAGATGGGCAGATCACAATTGAGACCATCCTGGCTAACATGGTGAAACCCCGTCTCTACTCAAAACAAAAAAATTAGTCAGGCATGGCCGGGCACGGTGGCTTACACCTGTAATCCCAGCACTTTGGGAGGCCAAGACAGGCAAATCACAAGGTCAAGAGTTTGAGATCAGCCTGGCCCATATGATGAGACCCCATCTCTACTAAAAATACAAAAATTAGCCACGCGTAGTGGTGGGCTCCTGTAATCCCAGCTACTCGGGAGGCTGATGCAGGAGAATCACTTGAACCCAGGGGTTGGAGTTTGCAGTGAGCCGAGATCGTGCCACTGCACTCCAGCCTGGGCAACAGAGCAAGACTCGCTCTCAGAAAAGAAAAAAATTAGTTGGGTGTAGTCGCATGGGCCTATAATCCCAGATACTCAGGAGGATGAGGCAGGAGAATTGCTTGACTCTGGGAGGCAGAGGTTGCAGTGAGCAGAGATTGTGCCACTGCACTCCAGCCTGAGCGACAGAGTGAGACTCAGTCTCAAAAAAATAAAATAAAATAAGAGGAACAGGCCACAAAACAATGTCAGGATCATTACGTAGTGGGGGCAGGGAGCAATTGCTGGGGCCACCCAGAGCTCTCGCTTTGAGGGTCTGAAGGCCCTTTGCTGCTGCTGTCATCCCATGCTCCATGGATTTCAGTGGCAAACTTTGAGATAAATGATCAAATGACAAATGAGGAAACACCCACACATTTTTTTCTTTTTCATTATTATTTTTTTTGGCACCAAATTTTAAAATGTGTGCGTTGAATGAAGAGACCCCCCCCCCTCCTTCAAAACAGGCTTTGTGTGAGCAACACGGCTGTTTATTCATCTGGGTATAGGTGGGCTAAGGCCAAAAATAGTGTTAGCCCCCCCCTTTTTTTTTTTTTGAGACAGAGTATCGCTCCTTCCCCAAGGCTGGAGTGCAGTGGTACGCTCTCAGCTCACTGCAACCTCTACTTCCTGGGGTTCAAGTGATTCCTCTGCCTCAGCCTCCCAAGTAGCTGGGACTACAGGTGCCTGTTACCACACCCAGCTAATTCTTGTACTTTTAGTAGAGGTGGGGTTTTGTCATGTTGGCCAGGCTGGTCCTAAACTCCTGACCTCAGGTGATCCATCCACCTCAGCTTCCCAAAGTGCTGGGATTACAGGCATGAGCCACTGTGCCCAGCTAATAACCACACTTTTAAGGGAACAAAATGTTATCCAAGTAATTTAAGTAGCACAAACTAGGGGCGGGGAGACCAAGGCGCAATGACCCCCAGCCCATAGCTCCTTGATCCAAGGTCAACCGTTGAGCCTATCACATCCTCTCTCTGCAAACTTGAAGTTAAACCAAGCATACAGGTATGGGAAGCTGCCAAACCGGATCCTCCTGTGGGCAATGCCCCAGCAACAGGGCCCCCAACTCCTGCCACTGAGTCCTACATGACACCCCCGGGAACCCTGCTCGTCCTGAGACGTGGTCAGTCCTCATTTTCACATTTTTAAGAGTCGCCCTAAGCTCCTCTAACAAGTCCTACAAAAGCCCAAGTCAGGGGAAGCTTCTGCTGCTTGGAAACAAAGAACCTGAACTGATAGAGTAATTGGCCACTGAGCAAGTGGGAGATGGACAGCAGGTGCTTAGGGAAATGTGGGGACTAGGGATTGATTACTGAGCCCATGTGGAGAAAATGCAGGGAGGCATCCCCCTTCCCTTCACCCATCCAAAGTAACAAAGCAGCTAAGCCAATGTCACCTGGACCTCCCTGGGGACCATCTACCTCCAAGAGATCAGCCCCAGCACCCTGGGAAGCCACTGCCTCAGGCCAACCAATGGAGGGGTGACAGAGGCCAAGATCCCACCACCACCACCACCACCCAGGACAGAGCAGTGGCTCCTAATCCAAGTGAGACGTTGAAAGCTATTCAAAGGTACCTTCACCGGTCATGGTGGCTCACGGATGTACTTCCAACAGAGGCTGAAGCAGGAGGACTGCTTGAGCCCAGGAGTTTGAGACCAGCCTGGGCAGCACAATGAGACCCCAGGTCTAAAAAAAATAAAAACTTAGCTGGGTATGGTGGCACACGCCTATAGTCCCAGTTATTCAGGAGGCTGAGATGGGAGGATCACTTCTGCCTCTGAGGTTGAAGCGCCGTGAGCCATGATCACACCACTGCACTCCAGCCTGGGTGACAAGGTGAGAGCCTGTCTCTAAACACAAACATATCAGTGCTATTTTGGCAAGTTGTAATCATTGGAATGATGACTCGATTCAGAATTTTTTTTGTTTTTCTAAGACAGCGACTCACTTTGTCGCCAGGCTAGAGTGCAGTGGCCTGATCTCGGCTCCCTGAAACCACTGCCTCTTGGATTCAAGTGATGGTCCTGCCTCAGCCTCCCGAGTAGCTGGGACTACAGGTGATTGTGAGCGCCTGGTCCACTGTGAGTTTAAATGATCAGAAAAGACTTGATTTGCACTTTAAGATAACACTGTCGGCCGGGCGCGGTGGCTCATGCCTGTAATTCCAGCACTTTGGGAGGCTGAGGTGGGCGGATCACGAGGTCAAGAGATCGAGACCATCCTGGCCAACATGGCGAAACCCCATCTCTACTAAAAATACAAAAAAAATTAGCCGGGCATAGTGGCACGCACCTATGGTCCCAGCTACTTGGGAGTCTGAGGCAGAAGAATCACTTGAACCCAGGAGGCGAAGGTTGCAGTGAGCCGAGCTTGCACCACTGCACTCCAGCCTAGCAACAGAGCAAGACTCCATCTCAAAAAAAAAGATAACACTGTTGCATTGCACTTCTAGTTACTCATTGGGCTCTAGATGCCATAGCAATTGAACCGCCCACCATCCATGTATCAAACATATGAATGAGTCAGACCCTATGATCTTTTTTGTACTAGAACCCATATTTCCACTCTGCTCTCATCAAATGTCATGTGAATGAAAGGTTTTTGGTTGGTTTTTTGCCTAACAGTCTTATTGATCATACTATCTTATTTCTCTGCAGCAGAGACATGTATATGCTACAAATTAAAACCTAACATAGGCCTGTGAAGCCTAAAACTGTGAAACTTAATACAGTTTTTTCGTGACCACAAAGCCCTAAGTACTAAGTATTTCTTTTTGGATTATTTTTAGAATACAATTGCTCAAAATAACATAAATGGGTTACAAACTTTCTGTTCGTTTGTTTGAGACAGAGTCTCACTCTGTGGCGCAGGCTGGAGTGCAGTGGCATAATCTGGGCTCACTGCAACCTCCGCTTCCCCGGTTCAAGTGATTCTCCTGCCTCAGCCTCCTTTTGTATTTTTAGTAGAGGCAGGGTTTTGCCATGTTGGCTACACTGGTCTCAGACTCCTGACCTCAAGTGATCTACCTGCCTCCGTCTTCCAAAGTGCTGGGATTATAGGCACAAGCCACCACACCTGGTCAAATTTTTTTTTTTTTTGAGACGGAGTTTCGCTCTTGTTACCCAGGCTGGAGTGCAATGGTGGGATCTCAGCTCACCGCAACCTCCGCCTCCTGGGTTCAGGCAATTCTCCTGCCTCAGCCTCCTAAGTAGCTGGGATTACAGGCACGTGCCCCCACGCCCAGCTAATTTTTTGTATTTGTAGTAGAGACGGGGTTTCACCATGTTGAGCAGGATGGTCTTGATCTCTTGATCTTGTGATCCACCTGCCTCGGCCTCCCAAAGTGCTGGGATTACAGGCTTGAGCCACCACGCCTGGCCCCCAATTTTTTTTTTTTTTTTTAATTTATGGTGCTCGCTTCGCAGCACATATACTAAAAATTGGAATGATACAGAGAAGATTAGCATGGCCCCTGCGTAAGGATGACATGCCAATCCATTAAGCGTTCCATATATTTTTTTAAATTATAAATTAAAAAGAAAGAAAGAAAAAGAAATTTATGGCTGGGCACAGTGCCTCACACCTGTAATTCTAGCACTTTGGGAGGCTGAGGTGGTGGATCGTCTGAGCTCAGGAGTTCAAGACCAGCCTGAGCAACATGGCAAAAACCTATCTTATTAAAAAAAAAAAAAAAAAAAAAAAAGAAAAGAAAGAAATTTCTTAATCACAGTTCTGGAGGCTGGGGAGCCCAAGATCAAGATGCCAGCAGATTTGGTACCTGCTGAAAGCTGCCTTCTTGCTATGTCCTCACAAGGTGGAAGGTGGAAGGGTCTAGCTGGTTCCCTCAAGCCCTATTTTTGAAACAGAATCTCACTCGGTTGCCCTGGGCTGGAGTGCGGTGGCATGACCTCAGCTCACTGCAACCTCCACCTCCCAGCTTCAAGTGGTTCTCCTGCTTCAGACTCCTGAGTAGTTGTAATTACAGGCACCAAACACCACACCTGGCTAATTTTTGTATTTTTTAGTAGAGACAGGGTTTCATCATGTTGGCCAGGCTGGCCTTGAACTCCTGGCCTTAAGTGATCCACCTGCCTCCCAAAATGCTGGGGTTATGGCTGTGATAGATGGTGCCCAGCCCCTCAAGCCCTTTTTATAAGGGCATAAATTCCATTAATGAGGGTAGAGCCCTCTTGGCCTCATCACCTCGGAAAAGGCCCCACCTCTTAACACCACCACAGTGGAGATTAACCACAGCACCAATCCACTTGCGTCTTGCAGGCATTGTGTGTATTTTGTTTGATGAATACAAGATACTGAGCTTTTGCAATTCCAGATCTAACTAAACACCACTTATCAAATCCTGCCAGCTCCTCAGCATAATCCTTAAAGACCACAAATATTTCCTTTGTGAGCTAAACTGTCCTGACGTGAATTTCACAGGACGGTTGAGGGTCAAAGGAGATGACAGTCCCAGCAAATGGATCCTACTGAACTCTAACTGTAGGCAGTGCTAAGTGCTCTGCATGCACTAGCTCACTGGTACCCCAACAACCCCAAGAAGAAGGCACTATTGAGATCCCCACTTTACAGTTAGAGAAACTGAGTCCAGAAAGGTAGCATCACATTTCCTAAGCCACTCAGCTAGGAAGAGAGGGAACAAACCAGGTTGTGATTTACAATTACAACCTCTTCTCCCTCCCAACTTCTGATGCTGCAAAGCCCCTGAAGACAGCAGAGCTGCCCCTTTGTCCCTTGTGGCTGTGTGATATAGCTGGCCTAGAGTTAGAACCGGTACAATGCCATTTTATAAAATGAGAAAACTGTTTCCATTCTCCTCACAATGAATGCTAACCTTGGCCTCTGTAAGACTGCTAGTTTACTTTGCAAAGAGGTAAAGCTGCATACCTTCTCTTATCTGTAACTGCCAGAATTGCTGGTCTTTGTTAACCAGTAATGACCAGAGTAAGCACCACTGGATAATTCCATCCTGGTGCTAAGTAACCTAAAATTATGTGGACCCCACACCTGTCCAAATAATGTATAAACTAATGTTTATCTTAACTTCTGTAAACCTCTTAAGTGGCAATCGGAATGACAAAAGTCCCCTGGCCCTTGGAATGTCCGGAGCCCCCCTCACCCTCGTCTCAGCCTAGGAGGTGATTGACAGCTTTCATTCCCATCTCCACTCTTCACCCCCACTCCCAAGGTGGTTTTGTGGGTATAAAAAGGTCTTGTCATCCTTATTCCTCTGCCACGGGTTGGAGAGATGTGGTCGCTGGCAATAAACCCTGCAATTTGGCATACTTTTGTCTTGGTGTTGACTTTCTATGCTCAGTCCGATACAACAGCTGCACTCTCACGAACATGCTGGACTCGCCCAAGGCAGCCTCTCAGTCCTCAGGGCCTGCTGGAGAAGCGTTTCCATTAGACAGTGCAGCACTGGGTGCCAGGCTGCTGGTTACATGGCCCTGGGAGAGGTGCTGGCACAGCCTGCCTTTTCTGGGCAGTGGTGGTGACATTCCTTGTGGTGGGACTTTCCCTGCCCTAGGCTAGCCCTCTTTAGCCTGGAGTACGTGACCCTCTGAGGTAGGTGAAGACTTCCCAAAGGTGCATAAGAGTGAATCACTCTGGCCGGGCACGGTGGCTCACGCCTATAATCCCAGCACTTTGGGAGGCCAAGGCGGGTGGATCACGAGGTCAAGAGATCGAGACCATCCTGGTCAACATGGTGAAACCCCATCTCTACTAAAAATACAAAAATTAGCTGGGCATGGTGGTGCACACCCATAGTCCCAGCTACTTGGGAGTCTGAGGCAGGAGAATTGCTTGAACCCAGGAGGCAGAGGTTGCAGTGAGCCGAGATCGTGCCATTGCACTCCAGCCTGGGTACCAAGAGTGAAACTCTCTCTCTCAAAAAAAAGAGTGGATCACTCTAAGGATCCTAATTCTAGAAACAGCCTCTTTCCTCCCTGGCTGTGGCCCCAGTGGCCCCAGCCGCCCCATGTTCCTTCTCATCTCCCCTTTCTGGAGATGCCTAGGAAGGGAAAAGTCACTTTGTAATTTTCTCCTGGGGACATGTGAAGTAAATGGAAAAGAGAGAACCTCCATCCATCCTATTAAAAGAGAGATTTTCCAGCCAGGCACGGTGACTCACACCTGTAATCCCAGCACTTTGGAAGGCTGAGGTGAGTGGATCACCTGAGGTGAGGAGTAGAGACCAGCCTGATCAATATGGTGAAACCCTGTCTCTACTAAAAATACAAAAATTATCTGGGCATCATGGCAGGCACATGTAATCCCATCTACTCAGGAGGCTGAGGCAGGAGAATCACTTGAACCCTGGAGGTAGAGGTTGCGGTGAGCCAAGATCATGCCACTGCACTCTAGCCTGGGTGACAGGGCAAGACTCCATCTAAAAAAAAAAAAAAAAAAAAAGAGAGAGAGAGAGAGAGATACATTTTCCAAACATTTTTAGTTATTTAGTTACTTATAAAAAGTTTGTGGGCTGGGTGCAGCCCAGGGGCTCACATCTGTAACCCCAGCGCTTTGGGAGGCTGAGGAAGGAGGATCGCTTGAGATCAGGAGTTTAAGACCAGCCTGGCCAACACGATGAAATCCTGTCTCTACTAAAAATACAAAAAATAGCTGGGCATCGTGGTGCACATGTGTAATCTCAGCTACTAGGGAGGTTGAGGCAGGAGAATCGCTAGAACCTAGGAGGCAGAGGCTGCAGTGAGCTGAGACCATGCCTCTGCACTCCAGCCTGGGCAAAAGAGTGAGCTTCTGTCTCAAGAAAAAAAAAGTTTGAGCCATTTCCCGCGGCCAACTTCTATTCCTTTGTCCGTTGTCATTCCTGCCATCCGGCAAGGGGCCTGCCACCTAGCGTGCTGAATGAAAGAATGGACCTTGGGGTTTGAGTGTGGAAACCTGGGCAGGTCTGTCTTGGTGTCGCTGCATCCCCAGTGCTCAGCCTAGGGCCCAGCATGGTCACTTATAAACTGTTTCAGGAAGAAGGCAGGCGGAGGGTGGGCAGACCAGAGAAATGCACATGATAGGTCCAGGGAAGTGAAGGGAGGGATGACAAAGCAAAGCTTGAGGGCTGGGAGAAGCTCTCAAGAAAACAAACCCATGCATGAGCCCGCGCCTGTAACCCCAGGCTCTGGAAAATCGAGGCGGTTGGATTGCTTGAGGTCAGGAGTTCTAGACCAGCCTGGGTCACATGGTGAAACCCCGTCTCTACTAAAAATACAAAATCAGCCAGACGTGGTAGCGCATCCCTGTAGTCCCAGCTACTCGGGAGGCTGAGGCTGGAGAATCGCTTGAACCCGGAGGCGGTGGGTGCAGCAAGCCGAGATCGTGCCACTGCACTCCAGTCTGGGAGACAGAGCCAGACCCTGTCCCCAAAATTATGTATGTGTGTGTATGTATATATATATATATATGTATATGTATATATATATATATAAAACGAGAAAAGAAAATAAGAAAGTTTTAAGAAAACTTTTAAAAGAAAGAAAAGGAAAACGAGAGTCACCGACACCTTCGAACCACTTCACAAGGATAATAGCATCGCCCTCCTCTCCGCCCCTCACCAACATGGCCGCCCCCAGGGGGGATAAGCGGGTCTGAGGGGCGGAAGTGACGCACAGCGGAAGTCCGTCCTGCCTGTCAGCCACGGGCCCCCGAGCTCAGCGGGGGCTCCGGGCTGCTGGCTGTGAGGTGCGGGATGTTGCAGGCCGGGTGGCTCCGGGGCGACGCGGTGTTGGCGCTGCTGCTGGCGACCCGAGTGGTGGCGGCGTTTGAGCCCATCACCGTGGGTATCGCCATCGGGGCCGCGTCGGCCATCACCGGCTACCTGACCTACAATGACATCTACTGCCGCTTCGCCGAGTGCTGCCGCGAGGAGCGGCCGCTCAACGCCTCGGGTACGGTGCGCGCGCGAGCGGCGGGTCGGCGCTGCTGGGGGCGCCGGGGCCTCTGTGACCCCTGGCAGGGCCCTGGCGCGCGGAGGGACGGGCGCGCGGCCTCTAGACGGCGGTAGTCCCAGCTGGGGTGGGCGGGGAGCAGAGGCGGCGGCCCTGGAAACCGACCGTTCGCGGAAACGCGGTCCGGACTCCAGCCCTGGAAGCAGTGCCTTCGCAAACCGCCTCCAGATCGTGGGCCTCTGCCCAGCGCCTTTCTGAAGTTCCCGTTCCTGGGGATCAGAGGCTGAAGAAACGGAAAGTACTGTGGCCGGCCCTTCTGCGCCCTGCCTACCCTATTAAGTGACTTTCAGACATGCGGCGTCGCCCACAAAGCCCACATTGGGCCCCCGGTTTTCCTACAGGCCAGCAGGGGTGGCTGGGAATAGAAAGCCCTCAGTCGAGCGATGGTTCATATCTGGATGGATGAGCATTTAGTCTCCCTATCGGACGCCGAAGCGTTAAGGACCTCCACATAATGCATTTCCTTGAAAGTGGCATCAGTGCCTCAGTGTCATGCTGGCCCTAGGGTTTGGCAGACGCCCTGCTGGGACCC